ACAGGTGCATAATTTGCTCCTCCAGTTCGATGGCCAAAAGGTGGCAGTGTCTTTTCTCACAAAGGGCTTGCTTTGGAGTTCTTTCAGCTTGCAGACTGGCTCCTCACTCTTGGGAACTACCTGAATTAAAATAAGAGTGTTCAGTGCTCCAGAACATCACTTCAAAGACACTCTGTTCTTTCCAGCATGTCATTTTCCTTAGGCAAGACTTTTCTTTTGTCTCAAACACATTTGTTTTCATAAACAACCAATATTACCACCCACAGGAGGATTCCGATGTGGTTTCAGGCATTTCCACTGGAAATGTTTGTAGAAATTTACTGCAATAGCCAAGACTGTTTAAGAACTCAGAGCTGGACCATCATGCAAGTGCAGCTACAACATCAATACCCACTGATAGAATAAACAGAATTGTGGCTGACAAGAAGGGATGGATCTAACCTCTCTACAAACAGACATCACACCCTTTGACATCCCTGTTCCACAGCCTGTGCTGTGCTCCAGACACTGCATGTCTCAAGTGCCAGTGACTGAGGAACATGGAAACAGGTTGAACACACTCAGCCCTTCACCAAGCCTACACAGAGGGAGGTGAGCTTTACTTCACCCACCAGCAGTGGGTGAAAAAGAAAGGTCAGGAAAAAAAAATGTTTTACCACAGGACAGGCAGATCCAGAGCTAGTGGATGGTTCATTAAACTGTTCTGTTTGTTTTTCCTCCTTTGTCTCTTGGTGTTCCACTTCACTTTCTTTCTTGATTTCTTTTTTCTGCTCTTCATTTTCCTCAACCTTCAGGACAATCCCTTCATCTTCATGGGAGTTGACTTTGGTCAAAGGAGGAACTGGAAGACACATACCCATGTAAGTGAAAACACTGCGTTAGAAGAGGTACAGGTCATCACAGATGTTCTCTCTGCTTCACAGTGCCATGTCAGAGACCACCTGGAATCCCTCATACACTGCAGGGTCCTGGATACACTCTACAGCTGTCTGAACACACAGTGACCTGAGTATACAAAGAAACCACTCCTCCTTTTCCCACAGTACCTGCACACCTCATACTCCTATTCTAAAACACTCTGCTTCCCAAGTCTCAGCCCTAGGAAAGGGACGTGGGGATCAAAACTTGAGACAGTCCTGTACTAAGCTGCTCGTCCTTCTTGACACCCCTACAGCAGGTTTAGCAGCTGTTGTGTACTCTTATGCTGACTTTGTTTCACAGCTGTTCATTTTCTCCAGACACAGACCTCAAAAACTCCATCACAGATAAACTACACTAAACACTTCCTTATTTAAAACAAGTTTTTCTTTTGATGTCAATTCAAGTATGTGCCCTGTGACATAGCTGGTTAGAAGGGGGAAGAACAAAAACAAAAATCCCACTTTGTACTTTATTTACACTGGAAGGAAGAGAACTCCAGGTAGGCCAGCTGGGAATCCTCGAAAATACCACTGAAATTTCTGGCACATCAGAGATCAATCACCATTTGATACGAGGAGTGTTTAAGAGACTACAGGAAACCAGGTCTTTCCACAGAAATCAAGTCATCTGCCAAAGAAAACAAGTCATCTACCCTTTGGATCCCACAGAGTCCATAGAGAGAGGCCTGGTGTGACCACAGGGAATGTGTGTCCTGAGCACAGCCCCAGCTCTGCTCAGATGGAGATTCAACATTTTCATTTCAGGTCACTCTATCAATCACTCTTTGCTGCTCAGAGCCTCTGTAAGGGATGTTTGCCTCACTGCTTTCCTTAGGATCATAGAATCATCAAGGCTGGAGAAGCCCTCTAGGATCATCGAGTCCAACCATTAACCTGCCACTGCTGCAACCCCCAAACCACATCCTCCAGGGTCAGATCCAGATGCTCCTTGAACACTTCCAGGGATGGTGACTCCACCACCTTCCTGAGCAACCTATTCCAGTGCCTGAACACCCTAACAATGAAAACATTTTTCCTAACATCTAATCTGATTCTCTCCTGTCTCCATTTATGACCATTCCCTCTAGTCCTCTCCCTGCAGCCATGGCAGGAGAGACATCCCCCAGCTCTCTACAACCCCTGTCAGGATATCTGTTCAGTTCTTTGGTCCAGTTTAAAAACCAGTGCATGAGAAATACAGGCTAACAAAGTATCTTTATTTCCTTTACCTGCCAATTGGGGTGCATAAGCCCACAGGAAATGGCAGTGCTTCATGCAGGCCTGGCACACCATTTCATGGAAGTCTCCACTTTCAGGGGGAACTGCACCAAGATGCTGTCAGAAAGAAACAAGCACACAGTAATGAAGCATCCACTGCAAATCAACAGACTCAGCTCCAGGTTTAGAAGCAGTAAACCATCAGCTGCCATCACATTCTCCTGCTAACTTTCTACAATGATCATCAGAACAATTTGAAGACTGGAAAGAGCTGATAAAATTTCCAGGCTAAAACCCAAACAATTCTCTGTCTACAGCCTTCTATGCCCTTCCACATACCCAGAAATCTCAGTCCTGTCTTTATCTCATTTCTAAACTGTCCTAAACACAGGACAGGTGAAGACACCTCTTGCATGCTGCACATTTCATCTCTTAAATAACTTTTTATGATTGTTTCCTTACATGTAAGAGATTGTAAAGTCTTCATATTGATCACATACTGACCTTGAGAAGAATTAGGTCTCAAAACTCTACATAAACTGGTGAGAACTACTTAGGCAATTAACTAAAAGCACTTAGTGGCTTTCTTTTGAAAAG